AGTGTTTTCACTTCTGATGAAGAATCACATTATTATACTCCATATCTGCATGTTGTTCGTAAACTCTCTGAGTTTGATTAAACTTTCATTTACCCGGAGGTGTTTTTTTTTCTTTTTTTCTTTTTTTGCACGGGTCAGTAGCCATAACCCATCCATCTTTGCAAAGGCCTGTATTTATCTGAGCGATTATGATGTGGCGACTGCAGCAGGGCCCAGTTTGCCCGCAGTGCTCAAACCCCAATTATAGCAACAACACAAATATTGACTCACAGAACACCACACTTCAGCATAATTAAATGGAAGATCATACTTGTAAATGGAAGTATATGAAAAATGAATAAGCTAAGGCCACCAGCAAAATGGAATAAAGATTTCTAGCTTATTTTTGCATTTTTATTTACGCCGTGTGTCGGGCGGTGCGGGTTCGCATTCTCATGCAAATGCTTTAAGATGAAACCCTCAGAGGTCAAGTGAAAACCTCCCCATCTGAAAAATGAACACGGCTCAGAATGAATGCTCGCCATTTATCATTTTCTGAAATTAAAAAATATTTTCTGTTGGTTTATTGTACAGCGATAGAGCTTGTTTGTGTTTGATGTGTCTGGTTAATTGGAAACAACAGTTAATGAATTAATTAATTCGTCTTTAAAGCGTCTGTAGTTGGGAAATGCATGGAAAGTATAGATTTTTTGGTTCGATTCTGAAAGCTCGTGGACGAATCATTTTTACTACTGCTCTAGTCAGTGTTGACTTTATCTCAGCACATGCCATGCAGCATCAGCAGTCTTCTGCCAACTCCAGCGCTGTCAGAGACGCTTCAAAAAACACTCACGTCCCAGTTATGTAGAAGCCACAGTACCAAAATTGTTTACTGTACAAAATGAAATATCCCTTAAAAAGTGTTAGCGCTGGCGTGAACTGCATAAGCCAAACAATATGCCCAATTCATAAAATAACATATGCTGAATAAGAACATTTGACAGTTTTGTAAATGCACAAACAACATTTACACTCTTCAGAGTTTTGCAGCCAATACTTGAACACACAAAACAATAAAACATAATCAACAATTTGATTCAACTCAAAATACATCACATACAATTTAATTCGATTGGATGTATTTTGACATCAACAGCAAAAGATATGGGAAGCGTTTTCTTCTCTCTTTTAAAAGTTGACAAGCTTATTTAATTTGTTATTTAGCATTGTTTTCTGGTTGCACTTTTATTTTACAGTACATGCACTTACAGTCCACTTCCCCAAGAAGGTACTAAGTAATATAAGGTAACTACAATTTATAATTTGCTGCTTATTGATAGTTCGTAAGGTAGTTGTTAAGTTTAGGTGTGGGGTGGATTAAGGGATCTAAAATATGATCATACAGAATAAGACATGAATATGTGCTTTATAAGTACTAATAAACAGCCAATATGCTAGTAACATGCATGCTAATAAGCAACTAGTTATTAGTGATCTGTGATCTGTGACTAGTTTGCACAGACACTACATCTAGATTTCAGTGATTCTTTTGATTCCATTAGCAATGTAGTACTTCTGTGGAAAGGGGGGAAAGAGTAGACAATATGTCCTTAATTGCAATCATGCCTTGAACTGAGTTTCTCTGAGAGCCGTCTGTGAAAAAAAAAAAGCCTCGTGTGGCATATTCCACTTTTTCAAATAGCTGGCATTGATGCATTTTCACAGTAATATCAGTTGCTGTGTGCCACATAACAAACATCTATAGGTGCTGTCTACATTCACCTGCATTTATGTTGTATGCTTAGGCCAATAATTGCTTTTTGCAGTTATATTTTTATCAAAAGAACCAATTTTGCACTAGTTCTAAATTCCCATCTGTGTTTGCATGAGGGAAATCATCTTTCTTTAACACTTCTGCCCTCTTTTCTCAACGCTATCCATGTCTCTGCATTTGAATACTGCAGTCAGTCTTTCTATAGCTCGTAGCATTCACGATCGCCTAAGTTTTCCAAACTTTCGATCCCTAATGAGATGACTTCAGCCTGTAGCCATGCTGGATGACTGTGGCCTGGTTGGAAGTTAGATCCCTTTTTCTCTCTTAAAAATGAGTCTAGCACCATGATGTCTCTCTTTCTCTCTTTTGCAATCTGCCCTATTTTCTTCCATACGGTGTGTTGGTAAAGAAGACAAATCGTCTGCCGTGGCGTCTACCGCTGCACTCAGATATGAGATGTGTCTGTGGTCTCTTCCCCTCTCCTGTAGTCTGGGTGTCATCTCACCTCCACCTGTGGCATCTCCACCTTCATCTCTGCTGCGTCTGATACTCTGTGTTTAGTAAGATTGATCTGACCGTACTCTTTGATCTGACTCTTTCCTCGTGTTTCCTACAGTCCCAGGAGGCATTGCACCCGAATCTTTGACCTTCACCCCATTGGACGATATGATCTTTCTGAAGTGGGAGGAGCCGCTGGAGCCCAATGGTCTGATCACGCAGTATGAGGTACTGTAGTGTGTGTTATTATTTACAAGGCATTGTAAATGGAGAAATGGAAACTAACAAAACATAAGGCTAAATAACTGGTGCATATCAATCTAATATTTAGCATTTAAACTACATCTGAAGTGGTGTTTATACCATTAAAAAATATATGATTTATATGTTTTAATGTGACACAGAGACAATGTAGATATATTTAAATATATCATCAAAAAGACCCATTACTACCCTTGTGAAAAACATTACTTGTTTTGGAAATAATATAGTAAAAGACTGAATGTAAGGTTTGTGGACACTTAATTGCAAGCTATTTGCATTAAAATGAAAATGTATTGTATGTTATATATTAAATGCAATTAGCTTACTTTGAGTGCTTTTATGACTCACTTAAGTAGGACTTAATTATATATTTTTATCTAATATCATAAATATTTTTGTATTGTCTTTGAAATGTGGTAAAAATTTAATTGGTAACTCAAGTATGCTATTATTGGTAAATTAATTTTACTTTCATGTGATTTTCCTTTGAAACTTGCATGAGATGTTTATAAATGTGCAGTATTTGTAGTTACGCGTTTGTAAAGAAGTTGCAATTTAGCTCATTTGAATTATAGTAACTTCAAATGTAATATTGAATAACACACGACAGTTTACATTATAATCAAATACTTTACATGTGCTTCATGCAGTATGTTAGTCAAAACAAGTGCACTTCTTTAAAGCATGACAAAAGATTTTTAAAACATGATTTAATTTGACATGATTACAAAGTGCACTTTTTAAAGTTGTTTTAAAGTGTTAAGAAACAGTCATCAAAGTGAGTTCTCTTTAAGTACACTTAAGTGGCCTTTACTTTCATTCATTTTATATTATCTGCAAGCACAGTAAAAAAAACAAAAAACAGATTTGAAGTACACTACAAGTGCCAATTCAGTACAGTTAAGCGCACTTCATTTTCACATGGGTATTTGCAGACAAAGCCTTTTTGGTGTTTTCCAATATGTGTGTGTGTGTGTGTGTGTGTGTGTGTGTGTGGAGAGAGGTCTGACTGCACTGTGAAATGCTGCTCCCCCCCCCCAATGAAAGGGGCAAATATTGGTGCAATGTTGTGAAAAATGATTCAGGAACACATTGTACTGATGACGCACAGCTTATGCCACATTTTAATCAGTTGGGTGAGGCATATTTTAGTTTGGCTGTAATGCAGAATCACATGTTCAGACAGAATCTGAATTTGGCTGGGTAGGGATTGGTTGAGGGGATTGTCTAAACTTTCCGGGTTTGTTTTTGTCCCTCGTCCTCCCTCTCAGTGAGCAGTCATTAGCGTGTGTAAACTCTCTTCACTCTTCACAGAGTCTAGGTGTTCTTATGCTAATCATGTTGTAGTTCATTCTCCAGGCTTTAATTAGTCGGGGACAAACATAATTGCTTATTTGCCTCGCAGAGTCTGTCGGATGGGGGGATTGTGTTTAAGTGCTTTAGTCTGGTAATATTTCACTGCTCAGCTGTCAGCATGAACACATGTAAGCGTCTGCTTATGCTCTACGCTCGTTTGGGAGTGACATGTGTAGCTTTACTTCACTCTGCTGTTCGTTCTCTTGATGGATTTGGTAATGATTTCTCAATGAGGGATATGCTGCCCCAGCATTTTCATAAAAAGTAGTTTCAAAATGGAGCGTGTAATTTCTGTTGATGGATCTTGAGAGGGATAATGAAGTATCGCTGCACAGCTAAATTCTGCAGATTGGTCATTAATGTTGTTTCAGAGCAGTAGTTCTAACCAAACCAAACAGTGAGTGCTATTTGAACAATCGTCTTTAAAAAGTGACTTTTCTTTAAATCGTCTTTAAGAAGTTTTTCTTTTCTTTTCTTTTTTTTTTCTTAAAAAAATGTTCATCTTATATTGTTAGAGAACTACAAAAAAAGCCATATAAAATGTAACACAACCACATTATGAATATTATTATTATGAATATCATTATGAATATTATTATGAATATTATTATCATCATTATCATCATCATTATTATTATTATTATTGTTGTTGTTGTTTCCCCATCCTTTGTAATCTCATCCTTAATATCCTTATGCTGAGTTTTTCTGACCCTTTTTTTCTGAGGGTTCATGGCCTCAAGCAAAAAATGATTTCATAGAAATGGGAAATTAGACATAATCAATTCATAATAATTTAAAGCTTTTTTGGGGCACTCTTGAATAGGAAGCTACTGATTTTTTTTATTTTTGTATTTATTTACTTGAACAGGGAGCTACTGTATTTAAATGAGAGGTTCATGGTTTCATGGTATGTCAAATTTATGTTTCACGTCTACAAAAGTTACAAGTTATCATTGGTACTTAAATCAGCTCCTTTAGCCGTAATGTGATCATTAGTTCTAATGGAGCGGTGGCTCAGATGAAAACCAAAGAGAGAGAAAGCTGGGTTGTGCACCAACTGAATTGAGAATTGATTTAAATTCAAATTCAGTTCTAGAATTGAAGTTGACCTGACATAGTAAATATTACAGTTTTTCTCAAATGCTAAAACACAAAAGCCAATCCTCTAAACCAAATGACCAGTTGTCTAAACACATTTACTAAATCTAGCCATCATTTTCCAATATCATAAACACATTTCACATGAAGACACAATTCACAAAACACAATCCTCCGTTCTCATAAATCTTAACACATTTTTCTTTGCTAAAACACAAGTTGCAAAAGAACTCTGCTCATATTCTCAAATGAAAGCTCATGTGATGCAAAATGCTTGCCACAGTCAGCAATATTTGAACACAATGAACACACCTGGCGTCATTCATTACACACAACGACTCAAAATTGAAGACACTTGTTGCTAATGCTGTGACCACATGTATAAAAGCAAGTTCAGAGTGCACAGTTTGCTGAAGATTCCAAACAAACACAATGGATGAAGGCAGAGTCAGGGGAAGAGGAATTCGAGTCAGAGGAGGGAGAAGAGCTGGCCATGGAAGAAGAGGAGCAGGCCAACGAGGAAGAGGAGTTCAAATCAGAGGAGGAAGAGGAGCAGGCCAACAAGGGAGAGGAGAAGGTCCAGGAGGGAGAGCAAGACAACCTCGCACCATCATTACGGACGAGATGCGAGCAACAGTCATTGACCATGTCATTGTCCATGGCATGACAATGGCTGAAGCAGGACTACGAGTCCGTCCAAACCTGAGTAGGTTCACCGTGGCCACCATTATCAGGGCATTCAGACAACACAACAGGTATTGTACTCTATTGCTTTCTTTGTCACAATACAATTTTACAAGCCTGTGAAAGTAGTCTATTGGTTTCAAATCAGTTGTTACTGTATTGTAAAACATGTCAATTGACAACACATGTTTCTTTCTTTAGAGTTGAAAGAATGCCACATAGAGGTGGGAGGGTTGCCATATTTACAGCGGCACAAGAAACCCTCATTGTGGATATGGTTCGTGAGAACAACCTCATCAGACTCCGGGAGATCAGAGACAAAGTCATTGCCGATAATGTCAACTTTGAGAGCATTGACGATGTCAGCTTGGCCACAATAGACCGAGTTCTCCGGCGCCAAAAGATGCGGATGAAACAGGTCTATAGGGTTCCCTTTGAGCGCAACTCTGCGCGACACAAAGACCTACGTTACGAGTATGTGCAAGTAAGTATACATCCATGTTCACAGTACAGTTAGTGGACATACTGTGTTGCTCAGTGGCCTACATTACTTCTGGACAATACTGTGCTACCTGATTGACTGTTGTTCTGAACACCTGTGCACTTTCACATTTTCACAGAGGATATTACAGTTGGACGCGATGGCCAGACCTCATGAGTACCTCTTCCTGGATGAGGCTGGCTTCAACCTGCAGAAACGAAGGCAAAGAGGCCGTAACATCATTGGCCAAAGAGCCATCACTGAGGTTCCTGGCCAACGGGGGGGTAATATTACTCTTTGTGCGGCCATGGGTTTGGAGGGGCTTGTCCACCGGTATGCTGTATTTGGGTCTTACAACACTCAACGTCTCCTCACCTTCCTAGAGGAGCTAAAAGACATCCTCCTGGACCGCCAACAACACCATCCTGGGCCCGCACATCACATTTATGTGATCATTTGGGACAATGTACGCTTCCACAAAACAAACCAAATCAGAGAGTGGTTCACCACCAACAGTAACCACTTTTTAAACGTCTGTCTGCCACCCTACTCCCCTTTCCTGAACCCTATAGAGGAGTTCTTCTCATCGTGGAGATGGAAGGTTTATGACAGACAACCATACACTAGAGAGAACCTCCTAAGGGCAATGGAGCTGGCCTGTGTTGACATCCCAGTGGAGGCCTTCCAAGGATGGATTCGCCATTCCAGGGCGTTTTTCCCGCGGTGCCTGGCAAGAGACAATATAGCCTGCGATGTGGATGAGGTGATGTGGCCCGATGCAGCTCAGCGACATGATGCCGCACAGTGATTGTGGTGTGTGTGTGTGGTGTGAATAAAGTAAATAAAAAAACTTCACACCCTGATCATGTTTTCAAGAGTACTGTTGTGTGCAATAGATTCTGTTTTTGCATTGAGTTGTGTTACAGTAGTGTACATGCAGAATTTACTATAGATTTATACTCTTCATATGAAACTCACAAATCTAAATGCCTAATCCTCTGCAGAGATCTAAGAACATCCATTACTGTAAAGTTTCTAAAAATATGCATTGGCAGTTATGAAACAAAGAACCTTCTCACAAATTGAGCATTGTGTTTTCAATTGTTTTGCTGTAGTGTGTAATGATGTGTATAGTGTTTACATTTTTGAAAGCTTCGAGCTGCTCTTTTGGTGTGAAAGTTTGAGTTTTGAAGTGAGAAGGTGTGGTTGTGTTTATGTAGCTTTAGAAAAGGGTGTTGTGTTTAGACACTGGGGAACATGGAGGAAACGTTTGTGAAATGTGTTTTAGCATTTGAGAAAAACTGTAATACAAAATTGCAGTTTGGTTGGAGTGTAAGGAAAATGATTCAGAATTCAAACAAATTTAAAACATGCAATTTTTAATTAAAAGCAGAGACACATTTAATATTTTCTTGATAAAGGCTTGTTTGAAAGTTAAAAAAAGTAAAAAAAAAAATTGACATTTTAGGTTTATTTATTATAGACAGAGAAAACAATAGATTGATATGATTCAATATGTCAGTTTTTCTGCATCAAACTGGAACAGCCTCTACTTCTGATGACTCTTTTTTTTTTTTTTGCAATATCTAATACAAATACAGTATTTCAGATCGCACATATGTATGATGTAAATAGAGAGGATAAACGTTGTTTAAGCCTTCTTGCAAGTTCTTGTGCAATATTTATTTGATTTTATTTTTCATCTGAGTTAATTATGAGTCACACTTTGTAAAGTAGATGGCTTTCCCTGACTTCCCTGAAGAGTATTGCAGATTCTTCAAACAGTTTGTAGTTGACACAGTCATTTTAAATCTGAAGTGTGAACTACCAGTGCTAAAATAGGGGGTTTCATTACACCTTAAAGTGTTTATATGTTTCTGTAGGGATGCCATCCAGGTCTGAAGCTCAACATCGGAGACAGAAACATTTAACTGGTCTAAAACAAATTATGTACATTTTCATACATAATTTTTCAAATGCATATATCTGAGAAATATTATTTTATTGTTTATCAAGTTTCTAATGGCAAGTTAATCCTTTTCCAGCCCTTTCACCCTGCTCAAGTTAGGTATGGCTTTATTAGTAGACAATGTATTATATTAAGCTGGGCTGGATTCTTCACAATTTCTTCACAGACATGTGGAGTAGGAATTTCGTAAATTTGCTGCTTGTGTTACCAATTAGTCCCTTTATATAAGCTTTGATAGCCACCCATCTAGTCAACAACATTTTTTTTTCTCAACAAATTTGAGGAATTGTACATTGTGTAGACATAAACTTTAATGTGTGATATGACTAGGTTTGCCCCTGACTCAAAATGTTTCTAATCGACTAATAGTTGTTAATTTAAACTAGGGCTGTCAGTTTAACGTGTTAACTTAATTAATTAGTTATGAAAAAATAACGCAATTAAATATTTTAACGCAGTTAACGCACTGGCCCCAGACCCTGTATGAGTTTTTGTCTCAAATTTATATAATACGATAAGCGATATCACACGAGCAGAGAGAGCAATATCAGACGAGTGCTGTTTATGTCCGAATACCACGAGTGCAAATGTGATTTTATACAACAGTTCAGTAAATAAGAAGTTGATATTGCGTTATATTTTAAACACAATATTACGTGGTTTTGCTCAATTTTGCAAATAATATATTACCTTTAAAGTCATAGCAGAATTGTTGTGCGTCTCCGAGCAACACAGCGGTGTTTATTCAAGATATTAGTGCAATAAATGCTCCTGTATAGAATAATAATAATAATAATAATAAAAACATTAAAGGGATAGTTCACCCAAAAAATGTAACTTCTGTCATCATTTACTTACCCTCATATCGTTTCAAACCTTTTTTTTGTGGAACATAAAGGAAGGTATTTTGAAGACTGTTGGTAACAAAGCTGTTTTGGTTAATGACTTTCATTATATGAACAAAAAATACTGACATGTTTCTCAAATTATTTTGTTCTATAGTTCTATAGTTTATGTTGGGCCGTTGTAACCTAAATGTTTGTGTAATAAATTTTATGTTGAATCAAATCATTAAAATATCTTTCTAAAGCTACACTTTGTAATGTCTAGCTACTTGAATACTTTCTCATTTAACACAAAAATAGCTTTAAATGACGTATCACATGTTCTCCGGGCTTCACCCCGGCACCACATACCTGGTGTCTGTTCGCGCCCGCACCGCCAAGGGCTTTGGCCAGACCGCCCTGACCGAAATCACCACCAATATCTCAGGTGAGGAAATGCACATCACCACAAGGAATCCTGGGATATGAGAGGCATCAGAAAACCTGCAACTTTGCTGGCTTTCTGTCGCGTCTCTCTGAATCTAAAGTACTTAATTATAAGTTTTCCACTAGAAGCTAGATGGGCTTTGGTTTTATCGCTGGGATGAATGTAAGACGCCTGCGAGGGCCTTTTAATTGGTTTCGGATTTATTCAGACTTTATTTGGACTTCATTCAGGCAAAAGCTACTCTTTTGGCGAGATTGACTCTCTGAACAGCAGAAATATTGATACCAAGGTTTACCCAGGCTTAAGTCGACAAACTGAGGGGAGAACTGAGTAAACTGAAGGGAAAATGGAAGATCCTTTTGGGAAATCATTTTTCCACCAATGAACTTATAGTCTCTGACTTTGCATTTTGCGGCTCAATAAACTGAAAATTAAAGAGAAACTGATTAGTCTCGGCCCCTTTGTTAGTTCTGACCAAACAATGGACAGTATTTGGACAATCCAGCTTAAACAGCCTTTTAATAGTAATAGTTCACCCAAAAACTCTGCCATTTTTTATATACGCTACTCCAAGCATGCTCATTCATTGACCACGTCAAGCTCCAAAGAGACAAAAAAGTACCATTAAGACAAGACCCTAAAAGCAAAACCAATGTTATTTCATGCACTGGTCAATTTTGAGATTTTGGGGCTTGTCACATAGGCACTCACACGATGTCTGCGTACTCTTGAGATTTTATTGAGAGCAACAGCTCAACTCAGTCTCTTGTGCAAAACTCTTATATTGTTATATCCGTTAACTCCGTTTTCAGTCGCATACACTGACGTAACCTGTCCCCAAAGCCTTATAGGTAATTTAGTGTAAGACACACACCAACACAGGGCTATTTTGCTTCCACAACTTCTCTTCATTCAGACAAGTGGAAAGAAAACATCTAAATACATATTTAGGTGCATATTTTATTACCTTTTATCTGTTTTGATTACATTACATTCAAGTTTTTTTTTTTTCCCCTCATGCACTGAGCCTAAAACTTTACTTCAGTAGCACTTGCATACACCAACTTTACAGTTTTAGAAAAAACCTTTACTACTCTTAAAGAAGGGTTTGTTTTTTACTCCTAAAGCATGGTGATTTTTTTTATCTTGCTGTTGACAATATGGAAGCCCGTTTCTGCCACTGATTAAAAAATAAAACAAGGTAAGGAATTTTTATCTCACAATTTTGACTTCCCCCCACAATTTAGTTTACATTACAATTTTGTTTACATCTTGATTTCTTTTCCCAGAATTGTGATATATAAACTTTGTGTTTTTTACAATTGTGAGTCATAAAGTCTAATTCTGAGGACAAAAAATGATGCACTATTTTCTTACAGTGCATCTCGCAATTCTGACTTTATTTCTCGCAATGCAAGTTTGGTAACACTTTATTTTAGGGTCTCTTAACTAGTTTCTTATTAGCATGCATATTACTAGAATATTAGCCCTTTATTAGTACAAATTAAGCACATATTAATGCCTTATTCTACCTTACCTTATTCTGCATCCCTAATCCTACCCAATACCTAAATTTAACAACTACCTCACTAACTATTAATAAGCTGCAAATTAGGAATTTATTGAGGGAAAAGTCGTAGTTAATAGTGAATAAGTGTTCCCTATTCTAAAGTGTTACCGCAAGTTTATATCTCACAATTGTTACTTTTTTTTTCCCAAATTGCGAGATATGAAATCACAATTCTGAGTCAGAAATTGGAATTGTGAGAAAAAAGTAGCAATTGTGAGATGAAAAAGTCACAATTACCTTGTTTTATTATTATTATTATTATTATTTTATTTAGTGGTGGAAACGGACTTCCATAATTTTCTGATTTATGGAGTTAGAGATCCTAAATCCTTCCTGCAAACACTAACTCAAATATGTCAACAAAAAGAAATAGGAATTTTGAACTTGGTTTTGTTCAGTGTTCAGGTTTCTGTTCAGGAAATCTATGCAAATTATGGCAAATTTAATTAGATAATGGTGCATTTGTATATTTAAACAACATTTCAGAGAATGTGTAAAACAAAACAATTGCATTAATGTACTGTGGTTAATCAAGTGTGGAAGTATAGTGAGATTTATTAGTTAAAATGTTGACTCTACTAACCTTTGGTGTCTAAACAAACAAATAAATAAACAAACAAACAAATGAATGAATGAATGAATGAATGAATGAATGAAAAGTTGTTAGTAATTCAACATTAGACTAAGTAATGTGTTCAAAAAAGTATGTAAAGTGTAGATAACTTTAGTTTAGTTAAGTTGGATATGTTATCTCAACAAAACTTACGTTTTTATAACTGATTGCAGCAGCAGCATTATTTTTTTTTTTGCCTTAAAAGGCACCTTAATATTTGTCTATACAACTCATGTACTGTATACAAAGTCTTCTGAAATCATTCAGTAGCTTCCCTGCTTTGCATTAAATGGGTTTGTGGGTGAATAGGGGATTTTTGCATGAACTGTTCCTTTAAATATCTCCACACACACACACAGTAATCCAGCTGAGTGAAACTTTTCTGTGTGTTTATTTGTGTGCTTCTTTCTGAGGTTTGTTCCTATAAGCAAGTCAATCGTAACATCCCTCAGTCCTCAGATCTAACACTAGCGCTGTGATGGCGGATCTCGTTCTTTCGACTCTAGGTTTTCTGCTCGTTTTGGTATGCTGAAGGCTGAGACATTGACCCGTTTCCCTGTACCGGCTCACTAATTGACTTCCGATAATAAGCAGGAATGGGAGCAGGAGCTCTGTTCTGCGCTCACCCATCAAGAGACTTTATAAAGGACTGTGGATCGCTCTCATCCGCCTCCATTACTGTGTTTCATTGCCCTTGTGTGGTGCGCTCTGTCTGGGGCGGATTTTGTTCACTGTGGAGCAAAGCCTTCAAGTCAGTGGAAAACCAAAACTAATTTGAAATATTTTTGTGTTACAGTTGCTGGGTGGTTGGGGCGTTTTTTTTTTCAAAAGAATAGATCAAAGATGAAACTTCTGTCATTATTTACTCATCCTCATGTC